TTAGTAAGATTTAAGTAGGATTCTTTTTAGTAAGAATTAGTAAGTTTTTTTTAGCAAGATTTAATAAGATTAGATCAGTCTGTGTGCATATTTCACGTGTGCGATTTTTAGACTGACGATAAGAACGGATTGGCCTTCATCACGCGTCCGGGTGGCCGGTTGCATACGCTTCGCTCGGGTGGGGTTCGATGAGATCTGATGATCTTTGGATTAAATAAGGTCAAACAAGGTCAAATTCCTTGCTGTCCTTCAAAGGCCCGCTAGAATCTAGTTAACTGTTCTAAGGAAAAAGCTACATTCTCATCTTAGGTCAATGACCTCTTTTAACCTTTTGCAGGTCATGGTGACCAAAATCATACAGCACCGCTTTGCGTTTTGCATTTCAATAAACGACATAGATTACGCTACGCAGCATGTTCCTAAAAACAAACTGTTGACTTGGGTTATTCTAGGTCAGCGATCTATTCTGACCTTTAAAAGCTTACGGAAGGTGTAAAATGTGGTTTCTGTTATCAATAAACTCGAAATGAGTATCAGAAACCACCCGATACAGCAAGCCCTAAAGTAATAAAGCAGGTTGATTTTGACCTTGGTCTGACCTTCATACCTGACCATAGGCCGATGTAATTTGTTCATTCAACTGTTGTGTTGCCTAAGAAAGTATCTCAGATATTTGTGGCTTCTTCTAACACTCCGTTGTTGGATCAGATTGGAAGATTCCTTAGAAATTGCCGTCGCTGAAACCATGGTCTGACTTTGACCTGCCACAGGTTAGCGACCTTAGAAGGTAAATCTCAATTTGTGATGTCATACAATCCGCTATTCAATCGTCTACAGCAATGTCAAATTTGGCGCGGCTACGCCGCACCGTTCGGAAACCATTCCGAAAAGACATTCTGGAGGGGGTCAATTTGACTCCAACCCGAGCCCGTGTTAAATCACCTCAAAGTGGTGCCAAAATCTGGTGGTGGCACTGGAATGGAAGTGTAAAGGTATAATCTCTATTTTTGTGTTTCTGTAACTATTAATCTGTCCAGAAGACAGATTATCACGACGCTTGCCGTCTGGTGACACTTGCAATGGCCCACCCCGTTCGGTTTTACGGAGGCTGCAACCGAGACCATCGCTGTCCTTGCTCTCGAGGTTGCGGGCGCGCTTGTTCAAACCTTTCGAGTATTTTTTTTCGCTAATCCGTGCCGAAAACAAATGGGCGTTTTCAGGCAAACATGGCATGACCTTGTTCGTTTTTTAATCTATTTCGACCCACTCTATTCAACAATGATGAGATCATCACTCTACTCAACAATAATAGGGCCCCTTATGCAAGGTTATGCAACCCGACCCCTCTGGGCAAGGGGCGCCTTGAGTAAAACACTAGGGGCACATTCGAGTTCCTATCAAGCGCTGAGGGGCCGCTCCGTCCCTTCGCAAATTACCTTCTGGCTGTCATCTGGCGGCACAGGGCGAGATCTCCTGGTCGATCTGGAGGCCATTAGAAATACCGGACCACATTGTTCCCGTCCCTGACACCGGAAGCCTCCTGGCCCACGCAGTCGGCCCCGGAGGCCTCATTAACGCAACAACATCCCTAATCGCCTCAGGTGGTCCAATACTTGTCATATATACTCCAGTTCCATGTTTTTTTGTGCTTTTTAGAGATATTGAGAACTCTCTAAACGTATATTTGGATGAAATAGGGTCGCAAACTTATATCAACATGGCTTATCCATGTTCATCTTAAAATGCTCATGATTCGGTCAGAAATGATTGCTGATAAAAAAAATAATGTAATATGGTCCTGAACATGCGCGCTCGCAGTTCGCGCAACAGCCTCGACACCCGGCGTTGCAGTCTCCAAGGGCCGCGCGGCTCTGGTCTGCGGTTGTGGCACTAAGCGATGGCCAATGAACAAACGAAAAAGATGACGCATTTCGAAGAAGATGGCTGGTGAGCTAGGTAAATCGGCACGTATGTTTAATGTGGTGTAAAGTAAGCTAAACGCGACCTCAATTTGAAAGGTGTTCTTAATTTGAAAAGTGTTAAGTGAAACCCCTGTTTCTACACCTATGCTTGCATAAATGACAACTATTGCCCATCGCCCACCGGTCGCTTAGGCTTCGGGATGGAAGATCAAAGACGTTTTTAGATTATTGGCGCTCTTCAAAGCTGTGCGTAGGCGCAGTTTTGATTTTGTAACGATATGCCTTATTTTCGGAAGCAAGTGCTGATATATGCGAGGTACTTTTGAGAATCCGTCGTTTGGCATGGAGCGTTCCCGTTTCCTACCACCCATCGCCCCGGGTGCTCCCTATTTTGTTTAACCTCGGTCAATATAACCCCTCATTTCTTTTTGGGAAAAGTGCTCCCTTGAGTGGAACACTAGGGGACATAGTGCTCTTCCCGTTCAAGGGCCGAGGAGGAGTTTCGTCCCAACGCGAAGTGTCTTTCGGCTGCCACTCTGGCGACACGGGCAGGAATCCTTGGCCGATGCGGAAGCCCTTAGATTGGTATATCATATCACATTGGTCCACTCGCTGACGCGGGAGGTCCTTTGACCCAAGCGGTTGAACCCGGATCGATGCAGGAATCCTCACTGACGCAACAACATCCCTAATAGTTGCTGGTGCTCCAACAATCGGCACATGGACTCCAGTTCGGCTTAGCGGGCCCATGCTGGAATTGGGCTGGAGGACCCACCGTTCGGTGCTGGAACAGCATGTTTCCATCATCTTAACGTGAGCACTTATCGCAAGTTCTCATGTTTCCGTATCGCGTTCGTCACTGTCCTCGGCGACGCTAGAGAAAGGTGGCAGTAGTTTGTTTTTTTTTTGCTTTTGTTTTTGTTTTTTTGTTTTTTTTTTGCTTTGTTTTCTATTGCTTTCTTCAGTTGACAACCTGAGCCCTCGAGCAGTGCAATACAAGGATGATCACGTGCATCTCAGGGCCTGTGCTATCAATCGGTTGGTTGCTGCCGAGTGGCCGGAACTAGCGCTGCTGCGGTGGTTGTGCTGGTCCGGTGTGAAACATTGGTGCCGGCTTTAAGGTGGTGCCGGCCCGGACTGACAGAAAGAGGAACACGTCCAGAAAGGGACGGATCGCAACAAGCGAGAAACGCTCCGTTGCCAGGTTGCACGGTGTATTGTAATCCTCAATACGGTTTGCTCTTACCCTATTTGATTTGAGGGCGTTTCGGTCCCTCCGGACTATTTCACGCATTTAAAAGGTTTATTTAAAATCAAACTTCAAAATGTGATGGAAGAAGAAAATATTATGATTAAGTTGATAACCCTTTACAACGCTTAGGACAATTAACACGTCTAAGAAAATTGAACAAAAGATCAGGATGCGGATGGTCATTACTTGAGAGAGCTCTTAACGACAATGTAACGTTGTGATGACGACGATATGCCCCCAATGTATTTCGCTGCAGTTAAAACTTGCCACATCCAAGCAAAATATGTTTAACTGAAAGGGAGCGATGACAGGGTTGTCACAATTGAAAATGGTGTTTTAAATGCAATTATGTGTAAGCTTTGTTTCTGCTTCGAAGACATGTTAATACTTTGCCTTCAAAACGGTCTGGATGGTTTTCTAATGGCCAAGGTGTAATGTCTGGTTTTATGTTATGAAGGCGGGTACTAGCGGTTTCCGTCCTTTTTCGTTGCTAAACTTGTTTTGCCAAATTACAAATGTCCATTTTTGTTAAAGTATGGTCAACATGTATTGGTGTTATGTTAAGAGACATCAATGCTTCCTTGGCCAATTGGTCGGCCCGGTCACTCCCTGTGATGCCCCGATGACGTGGCACCCACAAAAATATAGTGGCTTTGTCTTGCGTGAGTAAAGAATGGTAAAAGGGATATGCACACTGACAGGGGGGTGGTGAATGAAGTCGGGGCTAATAAGTGACAGCAGGGTCGCCCTAAAATCCATCCATATTACTATGGGTTTGGTCCCATGATTTTTTCGTTCGATGTGTTGCAAAGAAAGAAATTAGGCGAAACAATTCTGCAACATAAACTGATGTTGCAGTTGGTGAACTATTTTTTGTAAGTAATGTGTGTTATAGAGCACCGTGCATCCGGTGTGGTTTTCAGCCCTGGAGCATCGGTATAAATGAAGCGACAACGTGGATAGTTTGCAATCATGCGATTTAATTTCCGTTCTACATAACCTGTTGTAACGGTGCGTTTAGGGTCAGTAAAAAGAAACAAAACGCTTCGAGGTGCCAGCTGCCAGGGGGTACTACTAAATCAGGTGACAGGAAAGCCCGCGGTAGGACGATATTTAAGCTATGAACCGATGACCCGAGACACGATTGTAAGGCCCGACGCGACATTCCGCTGGTCCAGGTTTGTGTGTTGAATTCGTGGCAATATACGTGTGGCGGCAAATTTTGCCGTCACACATATATGGTCACCCAGTCGGAGGGCTAGAGGTGTGATGAAAGCATCCACTTCGAGCGCCGAAATTGGGAATGCGCGCAGTGCTCCTTGCGCAAGCGGCGAGAAAATATTCCATATAACAGTTAGAGATTTTAGACTTTTGACTGGATTTTTGTCTTCCGCGCCACCTGCATAACCACGGATCCACATTCAACAGCAGAAAGAACCAA